ACCATCATTATGATCAACTATATGAGTAAGGGGTTACTAAACACCATCATTATGTTCAACTATCTGAGTAAGGGGTTACTAAACACCATCCTTATGTTCAACTATCTGAGTAAGGGGTTACTAAACACCGTCATCATGATCAACTGTCTGACTAAGGGGTTACTAAACAGAGTCATTATGTTCAACTATCTGAGTAAGGGGTTACTAAAACACTGTCACCATGATCAACTGTCTGAGTAAGGGGTTACTAAAACACAGTCATCATGATCAACTATCTGAGTAAGAGGTTACTAAACAACATCATTATGATCAACTGTCTGAGTAAGGGGTTACTAAAACACCATCATTATGATCAACTATCTGAGTAAGAGGTTACTAAACAACATCATTATGATCAACTGTCTGAGTAAGGGGTTACTAAACACCATCATTATGATCAACTATCTGAGTAAGGGGTTACTAAACAACATCATTATGATCAACTATCTGAGTAAGGGGTTACTAAACAACATCATTATGATCAACTATCTGAGTAAGGGGTTACTAAAACACCATCATTATGATCAACTGTCTGAGTAAGGGGTTACTAAACACCATCATCATGATCAACTATATGAGTAAGGGGTAAGTTAACTTTATTTCTAAGTAGAGGTAAGTATACATTGTCACCATGAACTGGTAGTTTACAAGTTTGACGTACATTATTATGATTAAAGGTACAAGCAAGAGGTCCACCATTCTACAGTGTTACTGAATCATTTTTTTCTCCATTACTTTAAACTCGGTAATAACATACCTAGCATGATTTCAAGTAGATCTGTAAAATATTTTTGTGGTATATGTTGTTTTATAGTAAATATGTTGTAAGAAAAGCGTTTTTATTTCTTTTATACTTATTGAATGTTCTTACTTATACGGCTGTGTCACATTTCTATAGACACAGTTACCATGGCTACCTCACCGAAGTGATGTTGCATTTCCGATTACATGCTGCCCAGAAGAAGCTACAAGTGAGGAATAATTTAGATCTTCGAGAGACCCTGACTCCTTCTCCACATCTCTCTCCTCCTTCGGGCTGCTCCTCCGGGGTCAGTACCCCTGAGAACTTGGAATTCTCACCGTCTGAGCTTGAACCTCCACTGGTCACCAGTTCTAAAACCCTTTTGGTTCCTCCAAACTCTTTAAAGCCAGTGTTCAAACGATAAATGACTTGGTAGATATTTGTATTATATGTGTATAGTACCAGAAATGATGATGGACACTGTCTCTAAAACAACAGGTAATACAGCTGAAATGTGAACAAATGTTTAATTGGTAGAACATCTTTTAAGTTTTTTAAAAGCCAAACATTTCGTTCTGCTATTATGAAATAATCAACAAATGAACTGAGGGAACTTTTATTAAGTAAAGGTAGGACTCGTTTTAGAAACTATAGTTGACTTGCATGTAAATTTTTATCAAGCACTAGTTATTCTGGTTTTAAACAAGTCCACTTTTTAGCATATTATGATGGCTGTTAAACTTTTGATGCTTTAGAGTTATTGTAATTATTTTAATGATCGAAAAGGATATTTAAAATAAGTGAACATTAAAAATGTGTGCATTGTTCCGTGTTACAGAAAATAAACAGTAACACAGAAGTTGAAATGGTTTAAACTGAATGTGTATAAACATTAGTTACTTTGTTAGCTTATTGTAAGGTCTCATTACAGATGTGGAAGTTAAACATATAGTTGTCTTTATGGCTTTTAGTTAATGGAAAATTGTAGTATTAAAAAGGTCACCTTATCTAAGCTTCCACTTGCTTGATTTGAACAGTTTATTGCCATACAAGAAAGACTAATTAAATGGGCTCTGTTCTAGGGTGAATATAATATATATATATATATATATATACACACAGTTCATTTCATCTCAACTGTCTTGTCACGTAATAAATCTTACTTATGCTTGTCACCACTTATTTTGTGAAAAATGTTATGATATGGAAAAACTCCCTTGATCTGACTTAACAGGTTACAATATAGCTCAGTTGAACTGAGCTGTGTGTCACCATATAATAACCTCCGTGATCTGAGTTGTGTGTTACTATACAGTAATGCTTATGGTCTTTGCTGCGTCACTATATAGTAATGCTCATGACCTGAGTTGAGTCACTGTATAGTAAAGCTCGTGACCTGAGTTGTGTCACCATATAATAACCTCAGTGATCTGAGTTGTGTCACTATATAGTAAAGCTCATGACCTGAGTTGTGTCACTATATAGTAAAGCTCATGACCTGAGTTGAGTCACTGTATAGTAAAGCTCATGACCTGAGTTGAGTCACTATATAGTAAAGCTCATGACCTGAGTTGAGTCACTATATAGTAAAGCTGGTGACCTGAGTTGAGTCACTGTATAGTAAAGCTGGTGACCATATCTTACCACACATTGTTACAGCTGTTTGTTTCAACCAAGAAGTTTCTTGATTTTAACTTACCATAAAATAAATTCAGCTGATATGAGGTGTTCGTTATCATACAGGAAAGTTCACATGTAAGTCTGTGCTGTAAATTCCTGCTTAGTGTTTAATATATCTATAAATAATATTACGTAGCTCTTAGAACAAAAAAATAATTATTTATCTAATAGTTTCGAAAGTCTACTTCTAAAATTTCCTGAATATATTTTGATAAACTGTAAAAAGGAAGAGAGAGACAGAGAACTAATTTCTTATCGTAGAATATTTAGTACAAAATGTTATAAATCGTCTGGCTGAGACAGCATCAGATTCAAACTTAAAAATTATACTTTCTCTTATGAAGTTTCTTTGGATATTAATAACTTAATTTCATTCAAACCAGTTTTAATAAACACATTAAACCCTTTCCCCTCCCTACCCAAGGCAACTTCAATAGCTTGCATCCTTAGCTGTTGTAGTCATAACTAGTCATTAAGGACTTAGCTGTGATATATAACTGTATGTAGGAACACACCAGTGTATATATGTATTACTTGTGTAAAAAAATCAGTGGAAATATCTCAAATGTGACTGTATCAGATGTTAGACACGTCTTTACTTAGTAGTTCGTTACTTATATAGCATATTATAGTAATGCTGAAAATTTTTTGGTAACTAATGAACATGCAAGTAAAATACAGGGGCTTTCTTTCATAACAGTGAGACCCGAGGAAGATTGGTTATAAGTTGTTAAATAACATTCTGTCCTCCTTAGTTAAAGTATTTAGTAGTGTTTAGGCTTAAGTTTGGTGTGATTTTAATAGATTGAAGGCTTAAGTTTGGTGTGATTTTAATAGATTGTAAGAACGTAAGGGCTTATAATACTGAAGTCCCTCCATGATGGACATAAGTGCAGATAGCTAGCCTATTTATCTGTGTGTTAGAAGAACCAAACTGTTATTGGATAAAGGTACTGGTTAACATTGTATGTGTGTGTGTATCTTTCTTCTAATCCCTCTGTGATGGACATAAGTACAGATAGCTAGCCTATTTATCTCTGTGTTAGAAGAACCAAACTGTTATTGGATAAAGGTACTGGTTAACATTGTATGTGTGTGTGTGTATCTTTCTTTTAATCCCTCCGTGATGGACATGAGTACAGATAGCTAGCCTATTTATCTCTGTGTTAGAAGAACCAAACTGTTATTGGATAAAGGTACTGGTTAACATTGTATGTGTGTGTGTGTATCTTTCTTTTAATCCCTCCGTGATGGACATGAGTACAGATAGCTAGCCTATTT